GAGAAAACGGTACACCCCAATACTTGCAAATGTGACTCAGGAGTAGCCTTGGGGTCCAACTCCTTACAGCCAGCCTGCTGTTTCCCAGACAGAGGGTAAATGCGCAAGTGGTGAACCTTGTGTGACGATATTCACTTCAGCATCAGTTTCAGTCCAACGGGTCATTTCCTCTCCTCTTAATTCACTCAGGCAAAACACGCACAGCAATTCAGCCTCGCCATTATGAATTGTTCTCGCGGGCGTCTCGTCTTCGACTAAAATGAAAAATGGGTCAGGTGACGGACATTTTCGGCAGAATTCTTTGACAATGAAATAAGGGAGACCCCTTCCCAGAGGAGGTGTGTGCTGTCTAAGACCGGCTACGAGACCCATGCTCCTGCTCCCTGACGGGCGGGCGGTGGCCGCCGGCAGTCGGCCGGTCTCAGACAGAGGGACAGGCAGCCCAGCGCGTCTCTGACGTCCCTCCGGAGGAAAATATAGAGAATCGGGTCAACCAGAGGGCTCAGGTTCATGATGGCCCAGGCTGTAAGCAGACAGACTTCCAGCACATTGGAGTAAGCGGCATCCTCACCTGCCGCCGCAGAAAAATAGGAGTAGCAAAAGAAAATCGGCCCGTACATGCCGGTGAATATTCCCAGGAGGAGGATCATCAAGCGCCGAATCCTTGTCTTCTCCTCCTCTGGGACAGAGACTGCTCTCCCCACGGCTCTGCGGATCCCGGCACAGGACAGAACGAGGACCAGCAGCGGCAGAGGAAAGATAACGACCAAAAACAGCCAGTAGGCAATAGTAGATCCGATAAGTTCCCCCACCATGAAGGCTATGCCGAGAACCCAGACGCTCAGGGAAATGAGGACCGCGGACTTGGGACTCCGGTGATACCGGTACCAGAGAGGATGGGCCAGGGCTACATACCTCTCGACGGAGATGCACAGCAGGAATCCCACTCCTGCCACCACGCAGAGGGTGTATGTCATGATGCCCGCACCGCAATGACTGGGGCACTCATAGTCGTTGCTGGTGGAGTCAATAAACAGGGGCAGGATGGCAATCCGGGTCACGTCCGACAGGAGCAGGTTGATGATGTAGACGGGGAGGGGGAAATCGGTCTTGATCAGGCGGAACAGTCCATAAAGAGCCAGGAAATTGATGGGCAGGACGACAACAAAGAAGCAGCTGTAGATCACCAGATGGAAGGTCTTCATTTTCAATAATTTGTTATCATCCGTAGAGTTTCCTTCGGTGGTATTGGAGAAGTTCAAGCTGTCCATTTTAAGGATTGAGTGTTGAAGTGTCTGTCCTGTCCTTGTCAATGAGGACTGAGGTGTGTGTACTGTCCTATTCAATTGAGACTGAGCTGTGTGTCCTGTCTTTGTCAGTGGGGACTGAGCTGTGTGTCCTGTCCTTGGCAATGAAGACTGAGCTGTGTGTCCTGTCCTTGGCAATGGAGACAGAACTGTGTTTCCTATCCTTGTCAATGGGGACTGAGGTGTGTGTCCTGTCCTTGTCAGTGAGGATCCTGGCCTGTCCAGCAGTGCAGTGCTTCTTCCTACTCCTCTCTGGTCATTCCCCTTCTCAGAAGGTGAGATTCACCTTCTATTGCTACGAAACCAATTTTCACCAAGACCTTGAAACCTGCAAGAGTAGAGAGACACATTCAATACTAATAAGTCATCACTTCCCAAAGGCCTGGAACAGTTAACCTGTGATCACTTACACAGGTGGAGTGTTCAATTAAGACATGAGGATATCCCTGGGAGCAAGAATCACACCATCCTCCACCTCCAGAACCAGCGTTCCCCTCACTGAATTACCACTGTCTCAATAGAGCACTTGCTTGAACAAGTGCTCCTTCTCTTTAAATGACAGGCAGCTTCGGGGGCCCTATGACAATAGCTGGACTGGGGCTCCCCAGGGTCAGAGCCAGAGACCGCTCTCAGATTGACACTTTCAATGCCTCAGAGTTCTTCTGGATTTATTGTCATGCTCATGCCCATATCTTCAGAAGGAATTAACTGCAATTTGTACACTGTGCTCATGGAATTGCAAGACATAATTGTACGTAAGCTGGCTTTGCTGTAGATTTCAGGCAGCAGGTCGCAGAAGGCAGCAGGTCTCTAGAGACTGGGGGACATTTTCCCTGCCCTGCATTAGAGAGAGCTGTTTGTCCTCACTGAGCTGCCAGAGTCAATCCCAGATCAGGTTTGGCTCAGAGCACACAACTGCACTGCCTCCGTTCAGGTGTGACACCCATTTCATCCCAAACTGTGCCTCTTCTGTTTGGGAAGAGGGAGGAACCAGAAGCACAGGGAGAGAATCTGCTCCTAGAAGGTCAGAAGGCTCATTGATCTTCTTCCACCCAGGAACAGTAGACTGTAAAAAGGCGCCGTCCTTCGGATGAGACTTAAAACCTAGGTCCTGACTTTCTGTGGGAACCCTGATTTCCTATTCAAATTTCCCCCTGGTCTTTACCATCATAATCATGGCCTCCTAATAATCCCCATCTCTGAACTGGCTTCATCACTCTGTTCAAGTAGGAAGAGCCTGAACAACTGTTGGACAGCGCCCCCTGGGGACCAGAGCTACAACAACACTAGGAGAACATGCAATCTCCGACTGAGCAGACACCGAGATCTCAAACCCGGGGTCCTGGAGGCGTGAGGGGGCTGTTCCTCGCTCCATGCCCCCAGTCCTGTTCCTGTTGCTCCTGTGAGAAGCAGCAGCAATAGTAGGAGCAGCAGTAATGCTGTAGAAGAAACAATAAGGAGAGCATTTTTGGGGTATCTAATATGACTAGGGGGTAAAATAGAACCATTAACAAGGACAGGACACACAGCTCAGTCTCCATTAACAAGGACAGGACACACCTCAGTCCTCATTGACATGTACAGGACACACAGCTCAGTCTCCATTGACAAGGACAGGAAAAAAAGGTCATTTTAATGAGAATCATGATCAATCAAGCAGGCAGTCAGGGATACAGGACGTCCTCACCTGCAGCTGTAGCAGCAATGAGTCTCTGAAAGCGCAGAATTGTCCAAATCCCTTTTCCTGTGGCGCACAGTTCTAGCCTGCATGCTCTAACTGCAGACGAGCCACCAGCTCATTCTCCGAAGCACCGCATTTTTTAATGCTACTGGCCCCAGTGGCGGTCGGTCGCCGGCGACTGAGGGCTCTCCTCTCGGCGGAGTGACTGGACTTGTGTCCGGAGAGGGAGTCTCCTGCAGGCGGCTGTTCTTCACCAACAG